GAAACAATGATTGCACCGAGCGGATAATATTTTTTATCTAAGATATCTATCTGAAATTTATGCTATCGAAAGTTTTTATTTGAAGATGAATCGATGTAAAAAAAACCGGTTTCGGATTCTATTAAATTCTATCGTATTTCTTGGGTAGTTTAAACAATAAAACCATTGTATTGAATCAGTGAACAGCAATTACACATTTGCAGAGTCAGATGTTCAATAATGATTTTATGGAATCCTTGAATTAAATTAGTAAATATATCAGTGAAGAACTCTGCTTCCCCAAAGTTTCTCCATCAAGTCTGATTGGTTTAATGTTCTTTGTGTTGTTTTTGAGGATATTGGTTTCCCCCATATTCATATTAAGGCCTACTGATGCAGAGACTTCTGTTACACTGGCACAGACAGTTCTATACACGGTAAAACAACATCAGTAGTTTGCCGGAAATACAACACAACGCTGTCATCTAAAGTGTATTAAAAATTAATTAACAGAATAACTCCACTCTAAAAGAGTTTATAGGAATAAAATTTTACCGTTCATTATGAAGAGATCAACGTTTAAACTCTGACTGGTTTGATAATTCTAGTAAACGGTATACTTCTAGAAACCTACATCAACATTAGTCACACCACTGTCCTAAACACGAACGAACTCATCAACAATCAATGTAAAGTGATTCAGTTCAGGTTCAAAATTTATGTAGAGTAATGAGAAGAGGAAGTTTATCATAGTTCTGATAGGCTTAGCCTCCTAGTTCAAATTACCATGAACAGAGTTGTTGAAAACGAATTCAATAAGAGGATTATCAGTGTAAACTGAGAAATTAGCAAATAACTTATTTATGATAAAAATTAATTGTGTCTAAATTAGATCTCACCTAATTTATTTATACCTTACTAATTTTAGTGTTTCTGACAATTCACAGTTCATTGATGGATGTTACAACTTAACTTCAATGTTGACTTTCTAATTAGTTAACCACATTAACAAAAATATCGAGGAACTGAATTCAACAGGATACATCAGTATTTTGTAATTGTTATTCTAATAACATTCATGAAAGAAACCAATATATTATTTTTGATATCCTGAACAAGTCTCATTCTCTAACATGATATCTTTCTATGTTACTGATTAACTGCAGTCCAAATGAGCAAACCAATTCTAGAAATGTTGATTTAATAAGTAGGAATACATCAAATATCTTAGCTAGAATAGGTGGTACATACAGACGTTTATCAGATTGCAAATAAGGTCATTTATGTTGAGTAATTATTGTATTATAAATGAATTGGTTAAACACGATTGATTCCATACAGTTATGAAGATTCTCGTACGTGCAGTAAAAAAATCATAATAAGAAAATCAGTTCCTAACAAAAACCTTCGTTGTGTTTGGAGCATTTCACATGCGTCTATCCGATCAAGGCCTACTTCAATTCCTTTTATTTGAAGTTACAATTGAGCAAATGTTTAGCAGGTGCATTGAATTTAGTACACCTACATGGTATGTCCAAGTAAACCGGAAGTGGTATTCGGAGAATTAGGCTCAGAAATCGGTAACATAAAAGTATCTTACCCAATTTATTTCGGTCATCTATCACTAACGGTCGGTACACAGCCATTCAAGTAGTACTCATTGATATAGTAAATATAAGCAGGAAGGTGAGACAAGGATAAAAACGCATACTTCAATCGATTTTTAAACTTAATGTTTCAACAAGTGATATTTTAATTTAAAACACATACCCTGCATATAACATTTAGATGTTTGCCAAAATTTCCAGTAGTTTTCTGTTGCAACCAATTAAAATGATCCATACTAATAGTGCTTGATTGGGGTCCGCGTGACTATCGTAACCAATAGTTGGAGACTCATGGTAACATGGCTCAGAATCGATCACAATATCGTAGGTGTATATACTCTCTGTCTTCCCTTAAACCGTGGAACTAAAATTGCTCTGTCTTCTTACGAACTAAGGATAAATCCTTATATGCAATCTTTCTTTTATACATTAACACCGTTGAATCGACTAATTCTATGAATCCGGTGTTCATCTTGCTGTGCTAATGAGGTGTAGCAACTTGGACCGATGCATAAATGTGCCTGATCCTACGTTGTAGCTGACTGAGTTAAAATGGTACGAAGTCAGATCAGTTTCACATAGATGCTACGTCAAAAGCTCTTGAACTTGTAGTCTTGCTATTTAGTATCTAATTTACACAGCATATTAAATGCGTTACGACGTTAGTTGGACAATACACTTATCATATCAATATCAGGGATTATTTAAAGTAGTGTAATTTGATTTTCTACTCACATCACCATATAAAAATGAGACCATAAAGGTACTACATTGATAGCATGCTTCAAGTTTTCAAGTATGTGAATTGAATCAGCCTCACACATGATCGATGCAACAGATAGAACCTACCATGTTTATTCACCATACTTTCACATGAATTTCTCGTTATAAAATAAAGGTCTCTTAGACAAGAAACAGAGCTGTAGTTGATTATTTATAAATGATTGTTAGTACAATTTGTAATTACACCTTAAAACTCACATTGCCTTAAAGATAAAAAGTTGCAGTCTGAGAGCTGTATTCAGAAACATTTTTACTGAATTATTGGTCATAAATTATTTTTGGCTGCATTATATAGTTATCGATTGGTCTGTCAGAAATATCGTTTATTTTCATATGATTCTTATTGACTGATAAACTTTAAATATATATGCTTGCCAATTCTTATATGTAAAATAAGCACCTGATAAGATTTCTGAAATAGGTGATAGAAATATAAAGTACTAACAAGCCTAAAGCTCCTTCTTAACTGCCCTTATTTAATACAAGATATCAAGCTATCAGGAACCACATCGCAACTGAATCGATAAAACTCAACCAACAATGGGTTAACAACTGTGACTAATAACTGATCACGCAAGGTGCATGTAGTAAAAGTTTACATAGATAATAACCCATGTTCAATTCCCTTAAATGATAGTCTGATTATTTAAGTCAAACATTAGCAACAAAAACTACTTGAGAAATGCCTTTGCAGAGCTAAAGTAAATGAATATTGTGATCTTTCATTTGAAAATAACCATTAAAATAATGTTCAATAGTAGGAAATTTCATACATTGTTGAAACCTAGCACAATTTGAAGCATACAACTAAAATACAGATACAACAGTCAAACCCAAATAGAGTCCCGAAACATTATTAGACACGGTATAAATGCTATATTTACCAGCCCCAAAACTGCAGATGTCAAGATAAAAAGTACAAAATCGCAAATAAGTTAATTATTACATCCGGGAAACTTCTCAAAAAAAACGGACAAATATACAGTGGATAGTTATTTTGAGAATGAAAAAATATGCTTTAGAAGAATTTCGAGGATATGGACATGTTCAATGAGAACTAAATTATCATAAAGACAACAAATACATATACGAACGCTTTCTTATGAAAGGAAATGGAAGAGACAAATCCGAACACAAAACAGCTGCTCAGTTAAGAGTAGAATATATAAACCAACATACATAGAAAAGCAGCAAAATATGTGAAAAATTCATAATAATAACCAAACATAGTGGAAAAGAATGTAATTTACAGGTCCATAATATTAGATTGAAACAGTAAATAAAAGGATTTTAATGATTCAAGCAAAGTACAAGAATGAACGTTTAAAAATAAAAATAACTTAACGAAAAAGGGATGTTAACAATAACGACCTAGTAATCGACAAAGATTTCTCATTATTCAATAAGACCATTTTATAAGAACCACAGCCAGAAACAGTGACGTAACGAGAAACGACAGATAGGGCATGTGATTAAATGGTAGTGAACAAGAAGAAATTTTTTGGTTTGTTGACAAAAACTTGGAGTTGGAATTTGTTGATCTATTTTAAAAGTCATGGAGGGGAGAAAGGAAACAGAGTTTATCAAAAAAGACAATTAAGATATACTTCAAAAGTGAATAAACCAACGAATAATGTGAAACAAATCAGAAACAAAAGTTCATAGGTAACATGCTTAAATATTATCATGAAGATAAAAGTGGATACATGCTAACAAACAGACCGAATTTGGTTAATCTAACAACAGAATTACACAGTTAGCAGAAATCGAATAAAATTGTTGAAGATAAGGGGACATTTTACACTGAAGTTAAGATGGATAATATATCTTATTCAATCAATAAAGGAAATGGCTTGACAAAATGCTATATACGCAACAATCCTTAACGAGCACGAAATGTTACGATCACCGGATAGTGGTTATGTGTAAAGTTCACATACAACCCAAAGTGAAACCACTCACCGAAGGAAACGTATTTAAAGTAAAGTCAGACACTGGAACGTCAAAAAGTTTGAGCCTCGCTGCCGAAATGAAGGAAATAGTGAGACAAGGAGACAAACAAAAACGGCGCAAAAATAATTGATGAAAGATGCAGCCTAACAACATCTATGGAGTTTAGTACCAGTCTTACAAAGAATGTAATAACTGAGACGAGGGAAACGAAACAACTAAAGTTCATAACAGTTGTTTCACTCTTTAAGAATAAGTAAGTTCAAAATGTTGGCTATAAGCATAAACATAATAACAAAGGACTTATCATCTTCAGTAATCTTCAGAAATGTACAAAACTCGGTTTATTCCAGGAATGACAGAGATACAGAAACGCCAGTGCACACTGCGACGGCTACAATTAGCAAACTGAATTTGGATCTTAAAACAGGAGCTAAGCAAAGGAACAGAAATCCAAACTATCCGAACCCAGTATAATTGAAGTATTGCTAAAATCTGATTATTGATTGAAAGCTTTGGGTCAATAAGTTATGACGTTGTATCACCCATATAGCAAATTTAGTTATATCTCGTCTCAAATAATCTAACAGATTACTTGTTTACAATGAATAAAGTTAAACGTGAAAAAACGGCTATTGATTAGTTTCCATAACTTGATTGGATAGGGAAGAAGAGCCACTGCTACCTTCTTAGGTCGAGAACCACAACCTAAAAAGAAGTAAAGGATAAATGAATAGCAATTGAAAATAGGATTTTGATAATTAGATGTTAGATTTAAACTTAAATCAGATGTATGGAAAAACTGTACTACATTAAGATCAAAAACGGGATAAGAAATTTAGGGATAGTATCCTGTAACAACATGCTAGCACGTATCGACAACAAAATTTTGAAGATTTGGAGACTTACAGAACCATCCGAAGCACTGGCGCCCACCTTATCACCCCGCGAATTCCAGCAAACTTCGAAAATGCCACCAGTGCCTTGATAACTGTTTATAAGGTTACCAGACTGTAGAAATAAAAAAATGTTCAAAGTAATAAATTAATAGGATAAAATTGATAAAAAGACTAGTGTTTGAAAATAACCAAGCCAAGCTGTTAGATATAAGGGTTGACATCACTTATTGTTTTAGGAAGTCACGTAACAGCTCGTTTGGTATTTAAAACAATATAACAGGGAAATTATTATGTACAGGTCTCACTTGCACAGAATGGACTAACTGAATTCTGCGAAAAAATGTCTAAATAATCCAAATTTATTCTCTAACTTATGGTTTATACGCACGGTTTACCTCGGACTACAGTGACATTGCAGCTCTAATTGATTTAAGTGAGCTGGAGGTCGAGATTGCGAATTTATGATTTAGAGTCAAATTACACCTTAACAGCCACCGGGGAAAGCAGATGAAACAAACCATTTAATTACAATATATCCACGTGATTGGTACTATAATATGTAGTAAGAATAATTTTTGAAAGCAAACACTAAACTCAGAGAATATAGGTCTCATATCGTGTGCAGTAACTAACCTTTAAGTTTTAATAGTTAGTTTTACAGCAATAAAACAATGCACACAACTAGATTAGATAAAACATGTCATTGCGTCTAGGTCATAAAATTTCCTGTGACCTTTCCTCTGTACTGGGGAACAAAATCATAATCAGGCTGATTTTATAACGACCAGACCACAACTGAGTTTATTTAAGCCAATCAGATACGAAGGAAAAATGATCGATAAATAAAGTGTGTGGCCTAATAAAAAGGAGACAGGCTTGTTCTTCAGCCGAAAAATTAAGTAAATAGAGGGTAGAGTAAAATGACTTTGATGTAGTATGATATGAAGGATAGAGATCGGACATCTACGTAAAGTTTAACTGAGGCGAATTTTACAAACAAAATATTGAAAAATTAAAACACGGAGTATAGAGCTGCGATAAAATACTTTTTACTTAAGCCTGAGTAATAGTACCAACTTACCAGACTTTAAAAAAACGTTGCAAGTTAAACTAAATAAGACGATTAAATAACGATATTTACAAAGAAAAAACACAGATCATTATTGGGGAATTTAAAAAAGGAATATATGTATCCACCAACAGCGGGCACAATATTCAACGCGTACTTGTGACGGTGATAATACATGACTACAACGTATCATTCGTTTAGTTTGAGTTATCCCGTCATACATCAATCACTAATGATAAGACTGATTTCAAAGAAACTTCTTTTCTTCTCTCGAGTTTTTACGAAATTTTTATTAGTCAAAAACACTGTTGATGATTTTGACACATTCAACGAAATACAGTACTTGCGTGCCAATTATATTAGGGATTTATGATTGAGAACTTTATATGTCAAAGACAAAAAAATGGTTTGCTGTAGATTAAGAGATTCAGGAGTACGAATCAATTTCACAAAAATTATTTTACTGTAGATATAATGAAATAATTCTACAAGTAGATAATTAACACTTGTTTGATATATACATATATCATATTAATTCCAGTATATACGCATTGTTTCAATTATAGGCAATCACAAATTCTAATGAATTGTTTACCTTTTCCGATACCCTTAAAAAAGTTGGTGAATTTTAGGCGTTTATAGATTAGGAAGGTTTCAACAAAATAAAATATTATGAAATAAACTTACATCAACATTCCATATATGAACACATTGGTCAAATGAGCCTGTTGCTAATAAACGACCATCAGGACTGAATGCAACGCTATATACAGGTTCGGTATGTCTTGATAATATACGTCGGCATTGACCTGTTTCAACATCCCATAAGCGAACAGTTGAATCAAAACTTGCACTAAAACAATGAGAGAAACAAAGCATTTTACGAATTAGTAAAAACCTGAATATTTATCAACAAAGCAAAGCATGATATATTTTTATTCTGGGCAAGCTAAATAAGTCATTAAAAAATAATCCAACGTTTAGTGAGAAGCAACAATGGATCTTATGAAGAAAAATTTTCATCAAATCACTCCGAGGCTTCGCATGCTACTCAGAATCATTAACCCTACAAAATTTAACGAAATTCAAATACTCTTTAATAAACACAAAGTTACGTTTGCAGGTGACTGTAATAAATATCTAAATTAAAACACAATTATATGATGGGAATTTTGAAATGTCTATATTTTTAAGTGAGAACCTGATATGAAGAAATTAAATATTCAATATGAATGCTGTAACTCAGTACAAGGGGTTAAATTATGATGCTTAAGTGCTTTGCCTAGATGGGGATCACCAAGAACGTTGAAGTAGTAACTTAAAGTTGGGTACGAAATTGATAAACGATGACACTTCGTGTACAATAAATAAAATATACCGTCTCTAAGATTTTAAAGCCTCATTCACAAATGATAGGGTACCACGACCTTGAACTTTGACGAGTATACAGTAGAGGCAAGAGGATAATTTATGGATGACATTTGGGCGAATAGAATGTGACCTTAAGGACATTCACCTACTTTGGTTGAGTTAAAAGGGGGTTATGAATTTATGTGAGAAATTAGGATTAAGGTTAGGAATTGGAGTTAGGGTTTTCACCAATAACTGACATCAGCTATAATGCCGAGATCCAAGGCGTATCATCTTTAAGTTCATTGGTTCGTTAACAAATTCTAGTCTCATCAGAAAAGCCGGGATATTTGGAAATTCTATTAAAACAGAAACTAAGTCCAGAATTCAAGTGAATCCAGACAATCACGAGGAAAATCTTAATGAAGGAGACAAAATTTCAGAGGGCAATTCACCGTCACATTTAATAATAATGCTTAGAGAAATATATGCTGTAGTGATGTTTTTCTACATTGAAAATATAAGACTGTAAAAACCACACTACTCATTTTGGCTCATATCTCGAAAGCACACTATAGAATAGACTGAAAACTAAAGTAAATATGGCCAGGTTAAATTTAGTACAGAACAATATTGAGACTAACCATATATAAATCAATAAACTGTAAAGGGTCTATCACATACCGGTTATAACATTTATTCAGTTTTGATAGACAGACATATAAAAGCAAGTCTATGTCTATTTAACCACCTGACCTAAATAAGCCATACAGTGATTGTCCTTCCGTCTAGGTCTGACTGTATTGTGTGATGCTAGACAGGTTATGGACTTTGAACAATCGATTAAGACAAAAATGATAAACGAAAAAAATTACAAGGAAGGGTTGACTAGTAAGATCGATAAGTGTACGCAATCTACGACAGATTTCTTTTCATTATTTTGACAACCAATCAAACCATGGATACAAGATGCAAGACAGTATCATATAACGAACTGAAGGGAATACCTACAATAATGAAGTGCTAGTTTCAAGGTAGAAACGATCGAGAAGTAGAACAAACGCAAATATACTATGGTATTTGAGGGATGACAGTAAAGAAATATTTAAAGGTAAGTGAGACAGTTGACGTGTGGTCGATAAAGTTTGTTGGATACGTGAAAAGGTTGTCTACAAAAATATAGTGTATTTAATTAATAGCAAGGTGATAAAACACTTTGAAACGGGAACTGAAACATCTCAAAGCGCATCGACTACACAGATTTGTGACTTCACAAAAAGAGTTCAGTTTTTAAACTGAAGTTACTAAATGAAATATATTGTCTTAAGATCATTTGTCTTGGGTGCAAATAAGGTAACGCCGCTGTAGCTCTCCTAGAGTTACTGCCGCTCCCAAGCCCGGGTAAATAAAAGGAACTATATTGGTAATGAAAAACGTTTAGCTAAGCTATCTTTACATGACCACTGGGGTTGTACAATCATAGTGACCGGAGTACAAAACAATTATAAAATTATTTTGTAAAAAATCCACTAAAACAACGAAATTACAAGCTTACCTAGCTAAACAAAGTGGGGCGTTTGCAAAAGCTGTTCCAGGACCAGTGGGACTCCATTTTATGGTGTAAATCTCTTTCGTGTGACCCCGAAGATCATGTACACAGCGGTCGTGATGCATATCCCAAACTTTTAGTGTCATATCATCTGAACATGAAGCTAAAAGTCGTCCATTAGGATCCCATTTGATTGCGTTAACTTCATTCTGCAAACAACCACGTGAGTAAAATGCGTTTAAGAGCCAGACTAAACGAACTTCGAAAGTAAATATTTGAGATAACCCTTACTACATAAATATATGATAATTTCGACTCAATAATGTCATGTTCCAGATCAACACCAAGTTTCCATTTCTTAATGAACTCATAAAGGTCGCAGCTAACTTGTAAGAAGAGACAATGACGGTAATTAGTTGAAGCGTTGGTGTATAGGCCTATACAGATACTAAGAGAAGGGTAGTTTAACAATCAGTTGGATTGAGTGCACTAGTAGTATTCGATAAAAGGATGAAATTCAGCTTGACATATATTCCCATTCCTGATGACAGTTCATGAAAAGGACAGGAATACTATTGTGATTATCCGAATCGTTTTAATTGGCTCCCAAGATTAAAACATCTATTGTCAATTGGCGTTTACAAAAGCGAAGCCTCGGAAACGAAACAGCTCATACATCTGTTTTATATTCATTGGAAGATAAGTGGAAAAGTATGATAACCTACGAACTTTTAACTTAAATACAGTTTCTGTAACAAAAACTACAGCGAACTGTCACTTGAACGGGCTATATGGAGGGGCGTGCGTCACGACTACCTATTTTTCCTATGTTTAAATTTGTCAAGGGTTCATATCAACAAGTGACTTTGACTATACAGGACTCCTTAACTTTTAGTGAGTTTACAACTGACCTCAGGTCATGATGAAAACTATTCCCAAGTTTTGATATTATTTTTCACTGAGCCCACAGAATACAACACCGCCAAAAGCGTCTACCAGAGGTAAAACTCTTCTCCAGCACTACATTTGTTTGACTGACCCGTAAAGCTAATCAGTAAATCACGTGCGGTAAAAATATAGGAGAATACAGTTACTACAAGAAAATAAAAAAACACCTACCTCGTGACCCTGGAATGTTTTTACAGGAGAAGAACAGCCTAACTGACAAACATGAATATTTGTGTCTGTGGAACAAGATGCAAAACTATCTAATGATTGCCAATCAACATCTAATGTCGGAGCTTGAAAAAAAAAGGAAAATTTTGATGATAAACTATGGTTGGATCAAGCTTTTTTATGTTAAAGTAAAGTGAATGTAAAAGTAGTAAGTCGAAAACATTTGTAAATGAAATGATACTCCATAACACTGACTGAATTCTGTGTGATCATAGTAGATGTGAGAATTAGCTTAAAATGAACAGGCAAGACATAGTATCAATGAACACTTATATGGTCTTCATGTAGAAGTTCAACTCAGTTACTAGAGAGGAGTTTGAGCTATGGTTTGGAACCAAATGTGTAGAACGAGGATAATTTACCACAATAGTCGAGAAATGAAAGCTTACTTCACTGAGCTATGGGTTTATTGGAACAAACAAGTTAACCGCCACAAGAGAATACAAAAACAACTGATCGAAGACATAAAAAGACATTCCGAAATTCACTACATGCCTATGAATTTCAAGGTAGTTAGATATTAACAACAGAAATCGGGAGGTTAAACGATACTGAACAAATGGATAGCTGATTGACTTTTACCCAAAGATGTAAAATTACATTGTGACTATCAAATCTGTACCTTAAATGTAAAGGAGATTCGTAGGATACTAGTATTTGATCATAAATCCTTTTGAAGGATTGTTTGAGTGGCTTGTAATCACCGAGTAAGCAACATTGAAAATAAACACAAAGGATAGCAGAAATCAGTTGGTAAGATTGTGGGTCTTTCTCTACGATAATGCACAACCAAACACAGTCTACTTCGATGGGTGATGATTTCTGGTGTAGAAGTATGTTGGAAGAAAGCTACAAAAAAATCTGGCATTAATTTATGAATTCACTCTCGATGTAAGTTATATTGGTAGGCGCATACTACGTGTTTGGGATTTGAGTGGTTATTGTAATCCAGGTTATACACTGCTTGCGAATGACTGACACTCAAATAAATCACTGACGAGTAGAAAGGCAAATAAGATTTTTTTACGGAACGAAAAATCAAAGTGGAAATGATTGTAAAATACTTGATTATGGTGACTTTGAAAATGAAGGTCTCAGATTCAAGACTAAGTTTTAGGATCCTAAAATCGTTACTGAATGTACTGAAGATAAGAAGCACTGAATCCTTACTAAACAACGGGACAAAGTTAAAGCTTGATAGTACCCCTTTTATGTTAACTAGAATATCGTACCGACAAACTGCGGAACCCTGCTTTAAATATATTCAAACAGTTTGTCAAAAAGTATAGTAGGATTGGGTTTTTCACTACCTTAGATTACCTTTTTTTGTCATGTTACAGGATCAACGATATATAGACAATGACACACTACAACCCATAAGAATATTTCCAGTTCCTAACTAGATTATGTTAAGTCTTATCATGTAACTATTAGGAACTTAATTATTACTAGGAAGGTGTTTTATGAGACAAGGAAACGAAGGAAAGGAAAACATTAAAATAAGTCGTTGGAGGGAAAACAGATCCCTGTAAATAAATCAAGGATTTAGAGGGAGCTCTAAAACAAGGTTTTGATAGATGTACTAAGTGAAACGTAATGTAAATAAATATGTACCAACCACTTATAAAGATATAAGAATACAAGAGAAGTGAAATTAAAGTTCCCCGTAAGTGGAAATATTACCGGACACTTAGACTAAAATCATAAACGGTTACGTGCAGTATTACTGAGTGAACGTACCGACATGAAATGCAAACTGTTGAGCGATTCTGCCAGTTTGGGCCTCCCATATAATGGTTGTCTAAAAAAAGGGGATACAACATACGGACGAAAATGTACACACGTCAAAAAATGAAACCCATCACTACAAGTAATATTGTAGCAAATAATTGTAATGGGACTGATGTCAAATTCGTTATAACGATAATTGAAAATTACTCAGATAATCGATAAATAGCAATTACGTTGTAGCAAAAATTAAGTAAGATGAGCTGAATAACTTAAACGATGTATGTGAACCTGCTTACCCTATTAACCTGAAACGACCTAAAATATAAGGGTAACATTCGGAGTCTCCACGAGCTAACCGCCCTACAGGGGCGATCTGTAATAAAAAGTGCTGATTACAAAATAGGGAAGATGAACACGTGATATCGTCGTAAGAAAACATTCATCTTTAGGTACTTGAGTACTTAACATTTACCCAGGTATTACCTGTAATAAGAGAACACGACTTAATAGATTCGATTACTGTTACTAGAGGTGAAAGTCGTCGAAATGAGTCTGATCATTGGAACAGATCATCATAACGATCAGAATGTGGACGGATGACACCTAGAAGTTATGGACACCATGAAGAAATTCCACGTGCGGAAACTGAAAGCTAGATGTCAGTGACCGGAAAATACCGGAAGAACAGGTGTCACATCTAATTGTATTAATGTTAAGATGGACAAAGTATTTTATTATCAGTATTAGTCTGACAGTTTTTACATTTTAGGGATAAAATATAACGCAGAATAGAACTGGTGTGAAACGAACCATTTAAGAGTGGTACAGTACATTACTACAGCTCTATAAAATAACAGTGACACGAGGAAAACTCAACTGATCCGACACAAAATAGAACTACTCATTCGATAAATGAAGTAAATTACATGAAAAACGAGATAACTTAAATAATCTGAACACTAAATGTTGAAGAAAACTGTGTTTCCCTTAAAACAGTATATTCAACACAAACGGGAAGTTTTCCCTTTTAAAATTTAATAGTTTATTATTACGAGATTGAGACCAACGGTACCCACTAAGACAAAACAAGTATCAATGATGTAAATTTAATTATGTGACAAGATAAGTGTTAAATTAGTTAATCTTATTACATTTTCATGATCACTGGGTAGCTATACTAAATGAACATTTGATAACATTATTCTAAGTATTTGTACGTTAATTGGAGAAGCTTAGTACTTTACACTTCACCAAATTGGTCGTTTACCACCACACAATTTCACGAAGTGTGAAATAAACAGTAAGTTAAGAGACTAAACTCTTATGAGATACCGTATACGTAAAATGTTGTTCACTACAGCTAGATAATTCAGGATAGACTAATAAGATATCAATTCAACACTTCTTGAATTTGTTGTTGCACAGGTTTTTCTCTGACTTTTAGTAAGACGTAGGGTAGTTCTTATACCTAAACTTAGGTTTTGTAAAATTTTGAGCATTACTGTGCAGACGCATCACTAGGAGCATTATAAAATAGTGTTAACTTAATTAGACTGAATGAACTTACTGTAGATCCTTACAATGTATTTGTTTCAGAATAAAAGATCAAACAAGCTAACCTTATCAACTCCTGCTGTGAGAATATAGTTCCCTTTCTTGTTCCACTTCAGAGCAAATATGGGTCCCTTATGTTGCCCAAGAGTTGTTGCCAAGCGACCTAGAATAAAAGTCACATATCGATCCCATCAGAAAAAATAACGAGAAATAATCACTAGAATTAAGAGTCAAATCAGTCAGCTGCAACGTAGGACTAGGCACATGTATGCATCGGTCCAAGTTGCCATACCTCATTAGCACAGCAAGATGAACACCGGATTTATAGAATTAGTTGATTCAATGTCCTGGTACGGCTGAGAGTGGGGAGTCAGCTCTCCCTCTCGAAATGCTCTCACATGACCACGCGTATATAGCCTCTGCCAGGGAATTTCCACTCACTGCCTTTTCGTGGCGGGGGTGTTGTTTACGAAATTGAGAGGACGAAAAGCGAATGTCCGGCGCTTTAACCGGGTTGGTGGACATGGAGAGTCCACATAGGGGAGTTGGAAAACCCTGATTCCAAACCAATGGTGCACATGGGCTCCAGTATCCTGAAGGAACAAAAGGTGTATGAACCAATCGTTGGCCACCGGCTACCATAGGAATACATCTTACGTTGCTCCACTGCCTTGGGGACCAGACCTTCAGGTCGAAGGCTCCGGGTGTAGCCCCCTAAGAAAACCACCTGCTTCGGTTTGGGCACCCGGACAGTATCACAGCCCTCACACATATCGAATGGGATCTGTGTGGTGCATATGTATTTGGTGCCTCCTTATACCAATATCTATGAGTTAAAATAAATAAAAATAAATAATGGTGTTTATGTATGAAAGAAAGATTGCATATAAGGATATAGTATAGGAAGAAAGAATTAGTTCGTAGGAAGACATAGAGCAATTTTAGTTTCACGGTTTAAGGGAAGAAAGAGAGTGTATACACCTACGATATTGTGATCGATTCTGAGCCATGTTACCATGAGTCTCCAACTATTGGTTACGATAGTCACGCGGACCTCAACCAAGCAGTCTGCATCTATCAGCATGGCTCAGACTCGAAGTTAATGACTTCAAGCACTGATGTCACGTTTTAGTTAAATCCCAATAACCTGAATCACTTTATACTGTATTGTTTAGCACAATGCCAAAAGAAAATTAACCCCTTTCTCAAGGAAGATTACACTGAATAAATTATTGCAGGAGGCAGCTTTCAGAAAGATATTTACAGATTTCATTCCCCATATAAGCACGGCAACATGAAAAGCAGTGTGCAGTAATGGACATTTCAGAAGCATATCCTGTGCAGGATTCAAATCCCTCTATACCAGAAGGAAAACGTAATATTGGTAACGTGTCCAGCTCAGAGCAAGAAAATATTGTGCTAAATGCACATGAAGTTGTGACAATACCAGATGATCAGGAGCCAGATCCTGTAGATGATGCCCAGAGTCCAGAATCAAATGAAATACTACTGGTACTGTCTAGCTGCGAAAATAAACGTCAGCTCGAACAAAATTGTGGTCCACGTGCTATTAGTCGAGAAAGCTATGGTGACTCGTATTCAGAAAATAACTGGAGCAACACAATGAACCAAATTGTACCAGATGTTACTCAAAATCACCGGAAGACGGAATTTTATATTGAGTCAACTTATCCCATTTCTAATGACAGTGTACCAGGTACTGATTCTCAGAATAATGCATATGATTTTGATGAAACTTCTTATAACAATGAGGGAAATATGTCAGCTGAGTCGAATGATGGCCAAAAATCTAATTTAATTCTGTTAGACGTTGACTTTCTTAATGACTCGTTATCTGCTAACGAGATTCATAATGAATTTGAAAATAATGAACTCAGATCAAAGGTCGTTCATCATCATCTAGTCATTCTTAGTGGATTCTCCAGTCAATACGAGAAACATGGTTTAAATAAAGTCCTACTAGTTGTAATTTGGAGCCATAAGGACCCAACATTATTTCGAGGAGGAGGAGAATGTTGAGGAATTTAAAGTCACATATAATTTTTTTTTAATCAGAATCTAAAGTTGGAATTTTCAAAAAAAAGGGGGAGGTGTTATATCCGAGTGGAGATTAAATTACAGGTAACTTCCGAGGACTATTCATGGACTAATATTCTTATTGTATAACTACTCAACAATTACACTATGTATATTTATATTCCTTTTATGATAAGCTTTATTTTGGTCTATAATTTATTATTGTACGATTTACGGTTCTTAAGTTATGTTCAATTTATTAACTACTGCCTCCCTCATTCACAGCCACTTTTTGGGCTTATTTGTGTACAAATATTATTTCCTATTTTATGGTACGTTGCGGTCTGTGTGATTGATATATAAACCAAGTATGTCTGAAATAAACGATCTGCTCTGATTCGAAGCTGGTATTGTGTTCTGGACTCAAGTGGAAGGGCTCGTAGGACATAGGACCAATAAGGACGCTAAACTGCCCACACCGGTTGAACGTCATTGGTTGGCCTAGTGTGAAGATTCGTATAAGTCGTATTCGGATTGGTAGATAAGTCGTGTGATCGAAAAGTCAGACATCCAAGGCCATAACAGAGACGTATAAATTACACTGTCAAAACATTACAATTTTTATAACCTAGTACATAAAAGCCACTGATGAAAAATAAAAGTAACATAAGGTTAGAGGTCAAATAACATGTACACTTAGCGACAATGCACGTGTTACGTGACAGAAACAAATCATTTGAGTTCACCTTATCACAATGGAGGTCATCAAAATGAAATGATTTGTTACATGTTTATTTTGCCACCTTAATCGCTTGAGTGCATATGTCGCCATTTTGTACATTTAGGAAACTGCGGGTGGGCGTGCAGAGAAATAACAAATGTACATAAAAACAACATATCAGACACAAAAGGGACTAAATATATTATCTCATACATCATTTTATAGTTATTGCACAAGAAACATTAACTACTAACAACAGTTTGATGTGTTTCTTAGATAACATTTATCATAAGTTCTCAAGATTACTCCTAATTAGGAAATATGTCAAAGTAATACTTCAAAAGTACCTTAATAAAAATACAGGAGACATTTATCCTGTAAATATAAATATCCAACACCGGTAATAATAATCAACTGAGTACTGTTTATATCATGATTAGCTAGAAACTTATTAGGATTTTTTATCTCAGCATAACATTCAGTCGAAACCTAACTGCGACTCCAAATTACGATATCTTCCTATTATCCATATCAATATACACAATTAAACACGAACTAAAATTCAAGTGCAGAATTTGGATGGCGAATAAACTGACGCCCAAAAATACTCATAGAATTTAGTGCAACACTTAGACAGTAATGACTTATCACCAAAAAACTAAGTACAATGTAGCAACATACCGTCAGTATTCCAAACTCGAGCAAATCCGTCGTACGATCCAGTGGCTAGGAAACTCCCATCAGACTGGTACATTAAGACATTAAAAATCAAAAATTAGGTTTAAAAACAAGTTAATCATTGGTCAACAAATCAGTAAGTAAGCAAAACTTTCCATGGAAGATCAAACTGGATGCCAATAGTAATAAACCAATCATATATAAAACGTACATTTGAACAGAAACTAACAGTTGAGGTATTTCTGCATAATTCTATAGCGGAACGCTAACAAAATGTGTTGAAATAACTAAACGGTCTACCGTTTGTTTGTATTACTTTAAATTTAAGTGTACGTTAATTAACGAGTCATTCAAACGAAAAATTAATCAGAGATATTTCGAACAAAAATAAACAGTGAATAGAATTCGTTTATAAACCGTCACCAATATGGTCAGCAGCCTACGATTTTAGTCATACGTTCGTGACAAACCCTAATACCACAACAGAGAACATCTTATTAAGCATGAGGATTTTAAAAAAGCCAATAACTGAAAAAAATGTTGAAATGTAACCACTGTGGAACAAGAATTTCACAAACGAAAGGACAAAAATATAGAAAAGGGAGTGGCCAGTATATCTGCTTTATACAAATGTCTGCCAATAATAATGAGTCACCAAACAGACAGTCCCACAAGGTCATTTGTGATTCCGGAAAAATAGTAGGAGTGTGACTAATAAAAAAATATGATTTTACGGAATCAGCACACTACTACGTCATCAAGAATAATAGGACTAACTTAGACACTTCCATACTAATACATGTGAATATCATTGACACACATATATAATGACTAGATCAGTGTTATAGGTTAACAGAGAGTATTTCAATCATTTGAAAAATTCCTAAACTGGAATTTATGACTAAAAATCACCAGTCATATTCCAGAAACAATTAACTATTCGTTAACTGACTTACATTCCAATCCAGAGATGTGACGTCCTTGTTACTCAGCACAGTTTGACCATCAAGATTAACCCAGTGTGTTAAAACCAACTGAGGGACATGGTGAGGATTTGCAACGGGTTCCTCAAGATTCCATATCCGTGCCGTTGAATCTCCTGAGCTGATATGAGATTTGGTATAAATTAAAGATTTTATACAAACTAAGAAGAACAAATTGAGCTAGTTAGGAAAAAAACTAAAGAAATGGATTAAGGATTATTCTGCTTAACACAAGCCAATTTATGTACAGTGTTATTATGGTGAAATGAATATTCATTGATGTCTGGTGTAATTATAACGTGGGGAAAAAATTCCCTTTGATAATATCCTCGCAATTGTTGAACGAAGGTAACTGACTTAGAGATGACAAAGCCAAATGGGTAAAACTGCTCTTTAGAATATTAAAAAGCGTTAAGATAGAGAAATGATTACCAGACGTGACTATCTACTGATTTTCAATATAGCTAAAAGAACATTACCGAAAATTTTGGTTATTTTGAAACCTAACAATTATATACATGACTGAGTTTTAAAAACGCACCTACTCGTTACTTTTCAATTACGTAAATGAGATTTCGAGGGTAAATTCTGGACATCATGTACCAATAGTAAGACGAATATACATCAGTAATCATTATGTACAAAGGTGTTGCAGAGCGACAGTGATATGCTTTATTCGGTTACTGAAATCCCCTAACTTTTCAAAACAAGTTTAGAATTCGGACTTGAGCACCAAAACTTAGGAATGGAATATCAAAATTGAGCAACACTTTAAAGAATACGAGCCTGCTACACCTGATGAAATTCAATTAGTAAAGACTTGATGAAATGACTTACCCAGATGCTAGCATATCATTTCGAGGATTCCACGCACAGATAAAGACTTCAGATTGATGACCTTTTAAAACCGTGATTCGTTCAGGTGGAATTTGTCTTGTGAGTAAAGGAGATGTATTATTGACTTCAGGAACATGTACCCGGTCAACTTCCATAGCATCGTTGCCGCGATAATGATTAACTACCAATCAAGGAAAACATAAGTATTGAGTTAGCACGATGACTGCGTTGAGCAAGGGAATATATTTAAGCATGTAAGTGACGATAAAAAAATATGAATGTACTGAATGGGCTTGAAGATGGAAGCTTTCGTCTGAGGAAGTGAGAGTACTTGACAACGAAAAGTTTAATTCATCTTACTAATAAAATAATGACAGTTGTGAGAGTATCACTATATCACACCTCACAAAGTTGTCTTGAGTAATTTGGTTAGTTGTTCTGGTGTTTTAACACTAAAAACGACATTGAAGGTTAACCAAACTTTCTCACAATCACAAAACGTCAGTTGCCTATTCCAAACACATCAAAAACTTCCCATCGACATGCAGTGAGTGACCGGTCTCAAACGGTTTCCCCTCAGATTCTGCGGTGACGCTCCCAGGTCACTAAGAGCACTGCTAACCTAGTTTCCTTTACAGGTCCCTCAAGAAGAAATATTCTTCCACGATGTGGGTAGCCGTGAAGCGACAAACACGTCTATACCGACCCTTAAAACCACCCGAGACAATCTTCATTATCAAATCCCTCCATCATACCCCAATAGGCTTTAGCAAGTCACTAGCTGAATGGCAAAACTTAGCGACGTTTAGAGGGCTGCAGATAATTTAAAGCGAGGGAGACTTCAGATGCAATAACTCGGAATCCTTCGCAATGACAAAGATGCCTTTAATCATTGTCTTTCCCTAGGTTCTAGGTTTTGACATCCCTCAAAGTACATCTTATTTCAGTAATTTATATTTTCTCGAATCATATTTTTGATGCCTAATCTTTTAAACTACCACTCATACTTACTGCCTCTACAACTCTGGGATTTGCGCCTATTATTTCCTTCAGTCGTACAATTGGGGTATGGGAACCTAAACCGATGTACACACATACTAGGTTCTACGTCGCGTTTGACTGAGCAGCTGATTTGCTAACTGTGGGATACCAAATCAATCAGTTAGTTAGCACTACTTAGTAAATTAAAACCTCAGTTGTTACCAAAATCTGGAAGTCAGTATACATGATTTGACTGTACATGCAGTTATTTCTATTGTAGGCACTTAGAAATAAGTATTTCTTTTTACCGTAATACTACTGTTTGATTAAAAATCTAACGAAAACCCGGGTTAACTAATACAACAGAAAAATATTGACAAACTTGTGGCACTTTTTCATTAAGATGTCAACACTGACGATATGGGAAAACTGGACTAAATAACTTTCAATAATCTATCAATTGTACCACGAAACTAGAAAAAACTTTCCATCCTGATACGTAGGCTCATGGGTATTAAAACAAAAAAGCTGATGAAATTTTTTTTATTTTTGAGCTGATTTACTATTTGTGGTTGGTAGTAAAATATTATTAGCTATACAATCCATTTACCAAGTACAGGTTTATGTTTCTGGCTTCAAGTCACATTCTAAGCGTTAGGGGTTGCGTTGTTTTCAACGTATTTTTATTTATTTATTATTAATTTGAACACATAAATATTGGTACAAGGGGGCACCACACAAAACAATGAGAATGGGAAGAGAAAAAAGAGGGTAAGGAGCGTAAAAGAAAAACAATAACGACCACAAATTAGTGCAAGGTAGTTTAATAATAATAATAATAATAATGGGGGAAACGGAAAGGCATAACCAAAAGAATTCTTTCGGTTAAAGAAGAAACAACCATTTTCTATGAATAAAGTAAAAGAAGGTTACAGTAGGATCGCCACTAGCTTCTATTCTGAGTCATATCTGATAGCGTCCCTAGCCACTGTGTTGCACCATCTCTAGGGTTCCAGCCAGGGAGTCGTGAAGGACCGACAGAAGCCAGTCCTTTGCAGACTTCTTTCATAATACGACACCATGTCATACACTGACTACCTCTCCGCTTTTTCCAACCAGTCCCAGCATCGGCAAATAATGCATGACGTGGAATTCTCTGGGAAAACATTCGTAGGATATGTCCAAGACACCGAAGGCGGTGTTTCGAGGTGGTGACACCAATTGGATTATCGTCTCGGCGCCCGAACACACGATGCCGGAAATCTGCATTACTAACATGGTGTTGCCACTGGATGTCAGCAATCCTTCAGAGACAACAATGACAAAACACAGAGAGTCGTCCAACATCATCAACTCGGAGAGGCTAGGTTTCACATGCATAGAGCAAAACTGCTCTCACCGACGCGTTGTAGATCCGACCTTTTGCAGCCAGACTAACATCATGAAGGCCCCAAGGCTCAGATTGTCATAATCTGCTCTGGCTTTCACTATACATGAAGTGATCTCATCACTCACGCCACCACCAGCACTTAGACAGCTACCCAGATACACGAACTTCTCGACTACTTCTATCCACTCACGACCCAGAGTGAATGCAGAGTCAGCGTCCTGCTAGTCTTGTATAATTACTTTGCACTTCGAGGGTGCAAAGCGCATACCATACCTACGGACACTATTTGCCGACTGATTAAGTGCGGATTGCATGGCTTGGGCGTATCGGTCGACCAAAGACGAATGCTTTAGCTAGTTACCTACAACTCAGCGATAATACTTAAAAGATTAAAATATAAGAGCGATACAGAACTATTGGACGTAATACCTTTACTTAAGCTCTACGCGCGCGAATAGGAAGTTTATGAACTACAAATTAAAGATCTGACGCCATCGTGTATAATTCTATTATTACACTTTACAATAGGGTCAGTCAGTCACAACGTAGAACCTGTAGGTATGTACATCGGTTTAAGCTGCCATATTCCATAAGTACAGAGATCAAGTTGTAAGACCGAATCCCAGAATAGTAGAGGTAATAACAGTATAAGTGGTAATAGGAAAGATTAGACATCGAAGATACAACTCGAAAAAAAATATAAATCAAAATAAAAACGCAAGAAAAAGTTATGAGGAATTCAATAGCTCAGAATTCGGGGATGGATGCACCTGCTCCATTGCAAGTGATTTAAAACCTTGTCATTGAGTCGCCAACCACTGGGTATGATAATCACGCGGACCCCGACCAGGTAGTCTATACCTAATGACATGGCCAAGCCAATTGCCAGTGACTTCATGAACTGAAGCCATGTGTTTGATTTGGCTGCCTCTAGCTTTTTCCAGCCTACTCCTGAACCAGAAAACATCGGTCATCGCGGAAGGCGGTGGTTGGGCATACGTGACACATGTCTCAACCACCTTAGTTGATGAAGATTTACTACCTCATCAACCCATTCCCCTTCTTTAACTAGTGCTCTATTCGTAACCCAGTCATTACTTACGCCGTGCTCCCACAATACACAAACAATGCTTCGAAGACACCTATGACCGAATACTAGTAAACTTGGAATATCGTCTATTCTTAATAACCACGTTTCACACCCAAAAAGTAGAACGAATTGAACCACTGCACAGTATACTTATCCTAAGGTTGATAGATATATCTCGCCTGCGCCACAAGTGATGTAAGTTGACAAAAGCCAGTTGAGCCTTTGAATTCGTGCCAAGATTTCATCAGACATCAGTACTGGTGAGACTCTTAAAATAAACGAAACGGTCTACACGCTCAAATACTTCATCTTACCTGAATAGCACCTCTGGATTAAGCAATTGGGAATTAGTAAATACGCTAGTTTACTGAGGTTTCAGACAACAAAACCCTGTTTCCACTTACACATTTTCAGAAAACCAGGGATTTCACGTCATAAACTCGACGTGTTGGTACTAACTGAGAACATTAGTTTTTATGCTAACTAAAGAGAAATTTTTAAGTTTGCATTATAATTGGAAGTACCATAACCGTTAGTCAAACGTAAAACACGGCACAAATGCGCAACACTTCAAGTTGCCACACTACATCAGTAGTGAGAAATCAATAAGATGCATGGCAAACCATGTCTACTATAGTAAAAAAGGGTAAACATAAAGAACTCTGCTGTGTGAACTTGTGAAAAAGCATGAAACAATATTAAAACTTAGAATTCAGGAGGGAGAAAAGACTGAGTCTGCTCCAACACCCCCCCCCAATGATTACGATCGATGAGTAGCTTCCAACAAGGTACTTTCCATTCACCTGATAGTCCAATGAACAAACAATAACATTATGAACGGATAGTGAGTTTAGGTTTGCTCGTTTTACGCGCTGTTAACTCATCACTAAGCAATCAATGTGTGCTGCGGTAGTCAGATGGGCATGAATAATGAAGACAGACTTGCCATGAAAAGAGAATATATGAAATATTTACTAGGAATAAGAAACTTGTTCAGAATGAAAACTCGGTTTTAATGCCTTTTGTTCACCCAAAATAATTCGGAAGACAACCTAACGCAATTGTACACTGGGAATGCGTATACCAGTATACGATTTGTTAAGTATTTTTCTTCAGTCTTATAAAACTGGTATATTTTCAGAATGACTTGCCATGTGATCTCCATACATAATAGATCCCTGGCAGATTTGAAAATGAAACGTAACTACATTTATGATAGTAAACTGGATTTTTTATACTTATTGTAAGCCTTAAAATCAACAACGCACATAAAAATACTCCTAACATGCTATTTTTACAAATCACGTTGATTCCAGTTGGACTACATAATTATAATGGGTTTTAGTTTCATATCCATTGTTGACCTGTTAGCTTTATATTAAGACACTGCAGTACACCATATGACGAATTGCTGCAACACAACAAACAACAAGACTTTCAGTTTATCGTTTGTATACACGTTTTTCGGTCGCCTTAAAAAATTATCTGGCTGGCAATTTTATGACTTCCTGAATAAAACAAGGATTAGAAACACATTCCTTATTGAATTTTCTTTCATAAGCTGGCCAAAACAGATGACCCTATCATACAAAAAAACACACCAAAGCTTGTCTGCTACAGATCAGTATTGATTGCACACTTTTCTGGAGGCAGGAGCCGTGAACTATTCTAATGTATGAAAAAAAAACATTCAAGCTGATTTCACGTAAGTCGGTCAACTACAACGTAGGACCAAAAAACACATGCATCGGTCCAAGTTGCCACAGCTCATTAGCACAAGACGAACACCGAATTTATAGCAGTTACTTCAATAGTAGTAATATATTTTAAAAAATTGAATATAAAGATATAAAGGGAGAAAGGATCGGTTTGTAGAAAGACATGTCACCCAGTCTCTAACCACTGGTTACAATAGTCGCGTGGACCTCAACCAAGTAGTCTGTATACATCAATAAGGCTCGAACCAGAAGTTGGTGACTTCAAGTACTAGTCGGCATTGAGCGCCAAGGTAATCGATGGTTGGGCATGTGTAATACGTGGCCCATCTCAGCAGATGTATACTTACAAATCCAGCGACTAATTTACCATCATTCCCTAATACCCTGCGTCTAGCCTTCATAATACTTACCTATTTCGATATCGACCCTTGGTTATTGACAAACCGAGATTATGTTATAGGTATACAAAAGTGGCTTATTCGTTTAAGATAACAGAGCATATGGTGCACAAAAAAAACTTTCATAACATTGTCAAATAGAAGTTAGAAAAATTACCCATAGCTCCTCCATGATGTTCGCCGTTTGTCTGTATAGATGATAAAAGCATAGATTGAGGGATATGGTGAGTGGTAAGTTGTCCTGATGTTATGGAAGACTGCTGAGAAGCAGCTGTGATTTTATTGATTCCAACCAACGGAGTAGTATTTGAAGCAGTGATTGGACTTATAGTTGAAATGAGTGCGGCAGAGCAAACAGGAGTGGATAGGGATGACGGAGTCATGTTGTTAGATTGATTAAGTACAGAAGCATTAACTGCATTTGAAGGATTATTTGGTTTAATTGTGCCAAGAGTGGAGGGGGGAAGTGTGTTGTGTTGGTGAGAGTGAGGATGTGAAGAAATGCTTGAAATATCGTTCTTTAAGGGGGCATGGCCCGCTGCACTGTGTGAGAGGTCGGATTGTGTGTGCAATGTACTGGGAACGGTTGATATATCCAAAGTATAAGAGTGGGAATTGACTGATAATAACTGATCCGAAGTGGAGGAAGTAACCGACACGGATCCAACATGAGGGATACAATTAACAGTCGAAGACAGAGTTGTGCTGTTGCAGAGCACACTACTGGGAGTACTTAGGCTAGCTGAGCTTGTAGTGCTCTGTTGCTTGAGGAAATTTTTACGCTTTTCGATTACATCCGGAACAACAGCATCAATTAGGGATAGTGATTCCACAACACGTTCACTGCCATCCTGAAACACAAACGATTAATACAACTAGGACAAACCTCGCCAATACTTATTTCAGCTTCTGTATACTGCAACCCTTTTTGGATCAGGCTTAGTAAAGAACCGGGAGGCACAAGTGCCCCATCGACGTTTGACTGACTAATTTGGCTTTCTAAACCGAACAGGTATGCTGAGTGACAGTAGCCTGAAACGACACTAAAAACTACAAACCGCACGACTAACCTGATTCTTGCAGATATCTGAATATAAGAAAATTGACTTCATCAGAAGTGAAGCTCATCCCCTAGGTGGTGAAAGTGGGGAGGATACTGGTCGTGAGAAATCAGAAGTAGATTACAGGAAGAAGATCCGACAGTCAACACACTAAAGACATAAAATAGAAATCCGAGTGCCAAGTTAGGAAAACAGCAAACAGGAAACCATAATGTTTCAGAATTTTTTGTACGAAAGAAGCATGGTAGACAAGAAAAATTAAAAATACCCAAAACATAAGAATAGCCAGGTTACCAACGTCCACATCTAAAATACCGCGAAAGTGCTAAATAAGCACCACTCAAACAACCCGCAAAAATACGAATCTTTGTTATAGATAAGATTATCGAGTTCATTTTAGAAGCTACCGAAACCATAACGTTCGAGTGCCGAAGCCAGTAAGCTAATTCATAGGCTTCATGTGCCCCAGTTTTGAAGACAAATCACAAATTTCATGATTTACATTATGCACTGAAGCTTAAGAAGTTAGACCTCCGTACTCTATCTAACAGAGGCTCATAGTGGCCTGTATATTTACTATTTATCTCGGTATATTATTACTGGTTTTGTGTATTGCTACATATTGTATAAGTATTTTTACTGGGTTCATTAAAGGCTAAAGTGGTGGTTTATTCCGACTAGACCAAACCAAATCAACGGTCACAGTAAACGCGTTTGAAATCCAAGAATGAAAGAAATTCTGACGACGAACATGTTTTTTCATCATTTAATTCAAGTTTCATGACCTAACCATTAGAGAAGTAGTGTCTAAACAACCCACCAACTCATTCAAATTAAAATTAGACGCACCTGGAAACATATTGCAAGACGAACAAAAATGGCCTAAATTCTTTTGTTTTGAAGGAACGGTTTAAGGATCGGACATGTGGCTTTCGCCCAAACAACTTTGAATTGTTTAAATATGCATTATCCCCTAAGCCCTTCCTATAACCAGTATCGGTATCCTACTTCGATGGATTTGAGGGACCAGAATGTGGAACCAAAATATGTCAAACATTCTTGGATGTTAGGAGAAAAGCCATAGTATCTTTGTGCACACTGTTAACCCATGCACTCAAATAATTACTGGATCATGATTTCAATATCTGTAACAAAGCTTGTTGAGATTTATGAAAAGTTAAAATATTAGATGAATTATGGATCATCAGGGAGTGTGGGGTTATATCCATTACTTAGCCAGCTACCCATACTATCTATTTAATACTTCACCAAATATAGAGCAGGAATTTGGACAGTTTGCCGCTCTATAGTATTTAGTAGTAGACAAATTACCAAAATAAGTAGTCCTGTAAGTCATTAATTTTGAAGCTGAACTCGTTCATTTTACTTAGCACCCCATTTAATGCTCTCACTCGTTATCTTCAAATTTGCCATAATCGTAGGCACTCTCAGACTCCGTAAAGAACCTTGTCATAAAGATCTATCTCTCGACCACGAGGCGCAGATAACGCTGATTGATGCCATGCCAAATATGGTAAGTCTTGTTGAAAGTGAATTTTCCCTAACCCCAAAACTTCCGTCACAACAAACCTTTCAGGAAACTTCCTCACCGACATACAATAACGACAATCATAGCTATCAGTCATAGTTGTCAGTTCTACATCACTTATGTGACAATGAAAATTATCATTCTCGCCGACACTGGCGCAGAAGCAAGAGTTCTTGTTAATGCTAATAGCTATCTAAAAGATACGATCTTCAGCTTACAAGTGGTAAATAGAATACTGATCGTAACATGCAGCAAAATATTTTTTATTTAATGTAGACATATGCAGACCCATTCACTGGACATTCGCTGTTGCAAACTTTGGTATTTGAATGAACTAATGATTCCTTTGTACTTGTTAAATGCTTGATTTCGAATTCTAAATACAGTACGTTCGTTTGTGCTTATCTAGTACTTCTTGATCCGATTACGTTCTTTCTGGGATTTTTAGTTCATACTATAATTCAAATACTTCTGTTTATCACGTTGGCTCCATGATGGAAACTGAGATAAAACAGTTAGATATTCATTCAACTTCTGAAGCTTTTGAGGATTATTTGGAAAGGTTTGAAGTCTGGAGCCTGACCAAGAAAGATGTTATAAGTACTAAAATTGTGGCATATTTCCTGACACTCATCAGAAGAGAAGCGTACAGCTTATTAAAAACTTTGGAATATCCAGAAAAACCTATCTCACTTCCGTATGCAACTCTTAAAGAGCTATTATTAAACCATGTAAAGTGCACCAGATTGGAATCCCGTGAAAGGGCGAAATTTCATAAGATGGTTCGTCGAAATGATCAAAAGGTTACGGAATTCATCCTTAAATTGCAGAAACAAGCTGCCAAATGTAATTTAAGTGACCAACTTCATGTGAAACTGCGAGATCGATTAATTTCAGGAATTAACATACCGGGTTTAGAAAGAGAACTGTTAAGAATGCCAAACTGTTCATTTCAAGGTGCTAGAACTGCGTGTATTAATTACGAGGCAGTGAATGAACTTGATATCCAGTCGATGAAAATTTCTAATACGTCGCTTAGTCGTCATGATGAAATACGATCTCAGGGTCAACCAAACTTGCCTTCGTTTAACAGTGATTCCTATTCTCTTGTAAATATGAAAGGTGTTTCAACACGGAATTAAAAACAAATCACAAAGGTGAGATCAAGTTTGGTAAATGTTTATCATGTGGAAAGTTTCATTCTCGTAATTCATGTGCATTTCGTAATACTAAATGTTTTAACTGTGGTAAGATTGGACACATTCAGTCACTATGCAAAGCTACTGTCCATTTGGCTTCAAATAGTACTAAATCTTGTGACTTAAATCTCAATAATTCGGATGTTTCTAGTGATCATTTATCTTCGTCTACCATTTCGAAAGGTAATGCTCATATTCAAAAGCGATTATATTCATCGCTTAGTTCATTTCATGACTTTATTGTGGACACATCCAGTATGGATTCCATTATTTCATTCAAGAACTTGAAATCTTTAGATCCTAACGTTGTGGTACGATCCACTGAAGTATCTGTAGTGGCACTGGACAATAGCCACACAATCCACAAAGCTGTGAACACGAGACTACTCAGAAAATAGATATTCAATATTTAACGCGGAGAAATACCTAACAATGGAGAAGGCGCGAACAAGGAATTGAATGGACTGGGTTTGATCGAGTGGCATGGCTCGTCCATGCAGGCGTGGTCCATCTCAGTGTTACTGTATATCTTCTATTCATATTAAATATATTGTTCTTTCTCTAGCCTAACCTTATTCCTCATCAGGTATTGGTAATTGATACGATACAGTGAGTTGGTGTAGTCGATGGTGTGACTTCCACGTAAGATCTTATAGATTAGGCAGTTATATCATGACGAATCTACAATTTTGGGATTAGGTCTATTATTAGAGCAGTACTAATATCATAGTAGACCATAATTCTACATATCAATATTGGTGATTACTGGACACAGACTGCCCATACGAGGATGTTGTGAATTGCTAATAAGAGATGATATTCCTTCATACATACCTTGTGAATTCTTAGTTAGCGAAACAGGACTGTCAATACTGGGCTTAAGGAATTCGAAAAAGCTTGAAGTGGTGTTGTCTTTCTTAGTTTCTAAAGAAAGCTCTGATGATTTACTGAAAGATTTGATAGCTACGTGTGCTAAGTGCTGTGGGGCTATGAAAATTCAGCCTATAAATCTTCAAGTACAAGGTGATCCAGTCTTTCTTAAAAGACGAATAATTCCTTATGGTCTTCGAGAAGCAGTACATAAGGCTTTAAACGATTTGCGTGCGAAAGGCATAATCAAACCGATTCAGTCTTCAGCATGGGGTACTCCTATTGTTACGCCACTGAAGTCGGACGGCAAGACCCCTAGAATATGTGGTGACTATAAATAACGTTGAACTCCCGTTTGTTGAAGCAAACATACACGACGGTAGGGGCTGAAGATATTCTAAATCGACTTCATGGTTCTAAAGTGCTCTCGAAAGTTGACCTAAAAGATGCTTATCTTCAAATTCCTTTAGATCAATTCTTTATCTATTTTGACAACAATTGACACTACTTTTGGTCTGTTCAAATTTAATTTCCTTTCATTTGGTCTAAGTTGTTCTCCAGCCATATTTCAAGAAGTTATGAATAAAGTAGTTAGTGATCTTGAAGGTGTTGAAGTTTATCAAGATGATCTCATTGTTTATGGTTCTGATAAGGTAGTTCATGACGAGAGACTTATTGCTTTATTGCGTCGTTTAATTGAGAGGAATATTACAGTGAATCCAAATACGTGTTCATTTTGTGTATCTAGTTTCGAATGTCTTGGATACCTAGCAGATGGTAATGGTTTGAGACCAGATATGAAACGACTAGACCCACTGACAAATGCACCGTCCCCAAAATATCTCACAGAACTGCGGTCACTAGTGGGTACTCTTCAATACTATTCCCGTTTTATTCCTAATTTTTCTTGTCTTGCAAATTGTTTATTTAATATTTTGATATCCAATTCATTCAAGCAGTGTGAGGATCAAGAGTCATGCTTACGAAGTCTACATAAGTTTCTTCAAAGTGATTCTGTTCTTCGAGTGTACTCCACTAGTGTACATTCTGTGCTTATTACTGATGCATCACCTGTGAGTATTAGCTCAGTCTTGGGACAGGAAGGTAGACCAGTGATTTGTGTTTCACGCAAACTTACTGTTACTGAACAAGGTTATTAACAGACTCAGTGAGAAGCATTAGCTGTGTTTCGGGCTGTTAAAAGGCTTCATAAATATTTATTCGGAGAGAAATTCACTATTGTTAATGAACATGAAGCTTTAAAGTTTATTTGTCATCCTGAAAAATCATTAGCACGTTCCTCAGCTGCTATGGTTCAACGATGGTGTATTGCTTTGAGTGCATATGACTATACGATTCAGTACAGAAGTGCCAAACAAATTCAACACGTTGGCTACATTTCTCGACAATCATTACAAGATAGACCTGCTAATACTTCAGACTGTTTGT